TGTCTAGAATACAAGTTCATGATCAAAACTGAATATCAGAGAGTTCCTGATAGTCATGAAGAACAGCTCGTTCTGAACAGAGCATCTTGTTGGTTCAATATCCATGCAGCTATGACGTGATGCCAGGCAGGGTATGCTTACTCTTCTAGACACGTTTCATTATGAAATACTTACTCACTTATGATTGATATACTTCTTCACGTGAAAATATCATTACCTGCAACTAATGTTCGCCAATATGTTGATTTCGATTTCGTGTCTCGTTTTGCAGTTCAGATCGTTCGGAGGCCGGCCTATTTGGTTTATTTATCTAAAGCAGAACATGTTAAAACCGCACATGATTTAACGAGAGCAAACTAAACCTGAGTTTAAATCGGATTAAATTTTCAATAAGCTCCATTTCTATATCGAACGCTTATTCATTATTCGTTCGTTCACCACATACAGTCTATTTTTATGTATCGCGCGCAATCAGATGGAAACCTTAAAAAACAGGAATCGAATTAAAAGAAACGAACCGAAGAATTAGAAGAAGACGTCTTTCAAGGGGGTGTTTCTTGTCTTTTTATGGGCTATCACAACATGTCAATGTGGCAATTATGTTATAGTGAATTAGTGAGGCGTTAGTAATCGCCTTTCCACTGCCTTAAATCATCATAATGCGCGGTAATTACAGGATACCGTACAACTCAGAGCTTCCGGAATCCTGTTATTTTCTCAAAACATTCAAAATAATGATAGGGTAATATACATCTCAAGAGATCGTGTATACTCTTTTTGATTTCAGTTAAAATCGATTTTGGAATTTTATTGGAAGATTTAAATTGTTTTAGAATGTGTTAGATTTCTGAAAATTAAGATTTACATCTTAAAGAAAAAACGCACAAACGACGAGCCATTCTTACAAGGATAAAAAAAATAAATTCTCAAGGATTTTGTCTACGTTGTTGAAAGTAGTGTGTTTTTTTAGTTTGAATCATCAAAAGACAATATATCCAATTCAAATGATTTGAGCAACCTAGTTCATGCGAACTTTGGAACTGAACAAACACTGCTGCTATCCGATACCGGAAGTGGATGGCAGATATTTTCCGGGTTATTAGTTTTCCGGAAGTGATTAGTCAAAATGGACATCTGCCTGTCTGATTGTACTAAGAACGTATTATTATCAAATCATAGAATTGTTACAGTACTTGTCACTTGTATGATTTATTTACATCATACGAGATGGTCATTTGATAACTTCCGGTTCCATAAATTTAAAAACAGGCAAAACATTGCAAATATCCGTTACCCTTTATTCAATTTTGAATCAAAATCCAAGGGCTTTGTTGACTTCGGCTCTGGTAAAATAAGTACTGCGGTCAGGCAGGGCATGGTGTCTCTTCATCAAGTCGACATCCGTTAGGAGAGTTCACATTAATATTGTTTAGTTGGAATATCTAAAGGTTATTTGTCAACCCACATAGCTAATATTGTTTATTTAGCATACTGATTACTGCATATAAAATTCATATCGCTGCACATTTGTAATCTTCGTACACCGTGAAGTGGGCGTTTGTCAGATTTGTTCCAGTTGGCAGACTTCCAGGAACACTTGAAAACTAAACCTGCGTAATGGAATCAAGAGTACGTTTGAAAGATAACAGCTTTAGAACTGTTAGACACTTAGCCTCTCTTATATCTTCTAATAAAACTGATAAATCGCTCGGGATTTGGGTAATCTGATTAGATGTTTTACAAGAAATCGTCAGAACAGATTAAAAATGATGGATGATCGCAATGAATCGAAAGTAGACTAGATCGTATTTGGGTTATAAAAACATAAACGTATGTCAGGGACAGTGGGCTAGTGGGGTATTCAGACTTCTTTCGTCACTTCCGAAACTTTTCCGGTCATCTCACGTGCATTTATGTCGTAATTTTGAAGTCATTTGTAATAACTGTGCTCGAGAATTTCTCTAACGTTCCAAAGATACGACAGAAACGACGCGGTGAAAAACCCTCACTTCAGCGAAATTTAACAATAATTTTCAATAAATTCATAGAGAAAAAGAATAGTCGTTCAACTTAAAAAAATCGTTTAGTTATCGTCCCTTGGACCACATCCGATCGCACAACACTTCAGTTAAAGAAAATACATACATAAAGATAATCTGCGATTTAGAAAAACGTTTTTCGTGGCGCAATGCAGGGTATGCTTACTCTTCAAGACACCGGATTCCACTTTTCATTTTAAAATATTTCCTAACTTATGATTGATATACTTCCTCATGTGAAAAGTTCATTAGCTGCCAATGTTTTCTAAAATGTTGTTTTGAATTTCAAGTTTCGTGTTGCGGTTCAGATTGTTTTTTAGTACTTGGTTTATTTATTCTTAATCTTGATTTTCAATAAATTGTGAAAGTTACGTAATCTTATGACATATGTTTACTTTGTACATTTCTCAACTTAATAAAACATGTTTCTTATCCACAAAATTTACACTTTTCTTGAATTTTTAGTTTAAATATGTGTAAACACTATCTCAAAATAGATTTTAAAACGAAACTTGAACAGGTAAACATAAATTAATCTAAAATATGGCTTGCATGATTTTTTATCTTTTATGGGCGTTTACTAATTTGACCTCTGAATATATTATTCTATTTCAATTGCATTACGTCGTAGATTTTGAAAATTGTGTTTCACTCTGGCGAGGTTCGTTTTCGGGGGTTGATTTTAGTTCAAGTATATAGTCTTCAGAAGTACTAGAAATGATGTGTTTTGCCTCAGTTTATATAGGTGAGAAGAACACCGTACAGGCATTATTAAAAATTAAACAGTAATACCTGAACATATCACACCTGTCTCGAACTTAACACAAAACTCATAAAATAAGAGGTAAAAACATCATAGATTCACCAAGCACCATAATTCGGCCTGTTTCACCAATTACTTATCATTTGTCTTATCGTTTAAACTGATAAATTTTATGATTCAGGATAAGAACAAGGGTGTGACCGGCTGTCCAATTTCAACTCGTTTTAAAAAGACTTTGATGGTTAAGTAATTAGTTATTAGGAATTATGTTCGCCTATTTTTAAAGTTTTATCGTATACATTACACTTAAACCTGATTACCTGCAGTATTTAATACTATTTTATCTAAGCGCGGACCTATGAGGAAGCACTAATGTTCATAACACGACACAGAAACTAGTGATGAATTATAATCAGTTTATAAAATAGTCCAGTGACGAGTAATAGGTTTGGCGCTTCACAATGTCAAGATAATACGACCACCACCTCATACCTTGACTGCAATAAACACCTCTCTTGAATCACGGAATACAGCGATTTGATTGGATTGTATGCCTGCGAATACAGCCAATCAGTGCCTGCATTTACAAACTTTCATGATACAAGAAAGGCGACTTTTGCAGTCAAGGTATAACTATAACTGCTTAACATACTCAGATAATATCAAACACACACGAAATGTACGTGCTATGAAATGCATGTATATGTATGTAAATAATTGATAAAACTGTGTGTGTTCTAAGTTGTTTCTTAATAAAACAATGATTATTGTGTCCACTACTATAATTGCTTATTCTACCAAGATATTATCAAACAGAAAACAAAACAAACGCGAAATGTACGTGCTTTTAAATGCATTTTTTATATAGTAGAGAATTGATAAAACTGCGTGTGTTCTTATTTTGTACTCGGTAAAACAATTCGTTTTATTGTCCACTACTATTATTGCTAAACGTTAATGTACGTGCGTTTAAATGCATGTTTTGTGTATGTAAGCTATTGATATAACTGTGTGTGTTCTAAGTTTTTACACAGTGAAACAATGTGTATTGTATATAACTCAGTGATAAGAATGGCACTTTAACTATCTGTGTTTTTATAATGTTGAGATAATGATGAAACACGATCGTCTAAGTCTTTTATAAAACTATGTTTATCTATTATTATGTTCTCGTTGTAGATGTAATATATACTTAATTCTCGTTCTTGTATGTAATAGACACTAAATGTAATAATCGGAAGCTACTTTATCTGTATAGGTTAACCCTATGTGCACTTTTAAGCACGAAATTGCTGTAACCAGAATTTTTACGAGGGTTGATTGAAAAGTTCTAACAGTTATTATTTTTTAAAAACGCACACCAGATCGATGGTCCTCTTCCAGTTTTTTCATCAGCGGTGCTGTAAGGTCTGGATGCAGGACATGTTTTCTGCAACCACCCTTAAAAGTCATTCACAGCGGAAATGACATCTCAATTACTCAAAAAATAGCGGCTGGTTTATTCCTTTTTTTCATCCTGGGAAACAGGTACAAGTCTGGTAGGAAAGGGGGAGTGGGTGCAAATTGACTACAAAATGATGATTTTGTGAAGCGACTCTGGGAAACTGACAACTTTCTGATCCACTCCTACTATCCTTGAACATTAGATATCACGAGAAAAAGTTTACAATTTCACATATTTTGGTTCATATTTCCATACAAAAACATGAAAGGATTTCTTTATATTTGCTTCAATGATGTTTGGAAATAAACTAAACATGTCTTTAATTTCTATGTCTGACCCTAGAAACCTGGATTGTAAAGAAACTTTCGGAATAATCCTATACTATCATTTAAAACTGTCCAAGCGAGAGCTAACTTTTGACAGAAATACATTAAGTTTATTTTTTTTCTTGAAGATTTTCTTTCACTCACAAAATGAAAAGAGTCTTTGAGTTTCAGTTAAATTGGCATTGCCGACCTTTTTAAAAAGAAAAAAGTGAGACTTATTTTACGAAGCTGATCTCAATTTTGATGTTTTTTTTTATTAGTAATACAGGTTCTGTTAGTGGGTTTATGAAATATATTGGTACCACAGAATGTCAAACGATACCAAAAAACATAAATCAACCAGCGATGTAAGCTTTTACTGATGTCGGCCTTATTGCTACGACCCTCGAGGTCTTCCAGACACTTTTAACCATTAATACAACACTCACGGCCAGGGGCATATTTAGGGGTAGGGCCATTGGACATTTTTGTCTCCCTCCTCTGTCATTTTCAAGATATGACCCTGCTCGCGTCTTTTAAACCTAACCAAAGCGTGTCTATCAAGTGAAAGAGGGGCATTTAGCGCTAACCTTTGAACAATCTGATTTGAATTCGGTTTAAGTCTACAGTTTTTTATGTTTAATCTAACGGGAGAATACCATCACTGTTATGATAACGAACATAGATAGCATGTTGAAAATACACAGCGAAAAAATCTTGATTTGAATTTTAACCAGTTCACATGTTGTAGGTATACACATTCTCCTTGTACTCACCCCGAAATAAAACAAAATCAAAAGATAAAGCCAATCGAATACACCCATTGAGGATCTAGATTTCTATAAGATAGCGATTGTCGGCCAAATAGGAACTCTGGTTTCCATCAGAATATATTTTAGTGTTATTTTTCTGTTATTTTATACTTCATGATGGACTTAAATTCCTATAATAATTCAATTAGATGATATTCAAATGGTATATAATTGAAAACTTAACATTAACCAAGTCCTTAACAAGAATCCATGAGTACTGTTTTAATTAGCAAGATGACAGACTTTTAAATAGTTTTCATGATTCACCTATTGAAATTGTGCATTCTGATTAATCTGTCGAATTGAAGAACTAAAAATTACAATTGCAATCAAAATACTTCATTTAATTTAATCGTTGCAAAAGCACGAGACCGTGGAAATTACTCATGAAAAGAAATGGAGTTTAACGCCCTACTTTTCTGCAAACGCCATTCAGTGTGAGGAAATTTTGCCAGGATAGAAGTTATGCTGGTATCACGACCTCTTCCAAATCCAGTAAATGCTTGTTGTCTGAGATTTCTTACGTTTGACGTTTCTTGTTTATTGAAACGGTTTGTCTAATTCATCTCCCGATGGAGAATCATTTACCTTGAGAATTGGTGTAACAGACCCTTGGTCATTATATAGCCTTGAGTGAGTTATAACAGAGTCTTGGCTATTGACCGTGAATGATGCTGTCCAACAGAACCTAACCTTAAATGAAATAAAGAACCTATTATATCCTCGTTAATGGTATACATATTACTAATTACTATATCCAGGGGAATGGTTACTGCCTCCAATTACAAATCAAGGCCATTCCATGTCGCTGTAGAGAGGTTTTATACCATTATAACGACAAACCTGTAATCCATGATGATGCATGGGTTAGTAAACAACAAACTTGATCAAGTTGTATTTAAATATTGAACAATGAGAAGGTAACCAATCTTTCACTCGGTTTAAGGTATATATTCGACATGATACTGGCTTGACCAAACGACAACATTCTGACGACAGACAAATGCCATTGTGCACGAAACACGATAACAGAGAGTATATGATGTCAGCTAGACAATCTGGTATTCTCCATCTTGGTCAGTCTTCCACACAGAAAGGTTTAGGGTAGCAGGAATTATATTGTATCGGTTGGTGAAGTGAATGTTCAGGCAACGGTATCCCTTTAAAGCCATGCACCAAAACCAATTCATATTCCAGAAAGTTACATGTAGGCATTAAGAAGCCATTTTCTGGCATAATGTATCCAGATAGTGTTTGGTGGGTGAAGGGTTAATGCTTATTATTGGTAATAAGAAATAATTTAAGATAATGAACGTCTCTATAACTCGTATTA